ATGATAAGACATTTTAAATGCACTTGAAATATGTGTGTATTGTAGACACTCTTTATCAGTTATTAATACATAAGTGGTAAAATCTTTGAAAATTACACATTCAACGACCATGTTAAGACCAAAATCCTCGATAGTGTGTGTGAGTGTCTTAGTTTGAGATTCTAAGCCAACATATAAACAATGACTACGGGTGGAGGTCTTGTCTAAACTTTGAAAATTAACAATTGATACATATTGTATAATATACTAAATTTAAGTATCTTGATAAAAAAAAACTAACATCCAAAATGGAAATGAGTTGAGATTAGAGAACTTAATCATCATGAGGGCTACGGTGTGTGTCAAGTTTGAATATGAATGAACAAATTTATCCAATAATGAAGTATTTTTACTAAGAATTTCTTACTAAAAAGTCCTAATCTTTATAACATTGGTCCAGAGTTCGTCCAAACTCGAGGATCAGGAATGTGTATTGGATTTCCAAAGGACCTTAAATCCCAATCCTTTTCGGAGGCTAAATACCTCCGATCACAACCATATGTGCCAAAGAAGAATGAAAAGAAGCCCAAGAAAATCATAAAATAGCATAACCTCTGATACGATGAACAGAATAAAACCATATCGAGCTATGATCCTGTCATTCCTACCCTTTTATTCTCTATAAAGCGGGTGGAGGGAGAGGATAATAAATAAATAGTAGGATCTTAGGATTTTCCTCTTTATATATTACATATCGAACGATAGACAACCTCAATGGTTGTCTGACGTTATGGGGTTAAAAGCGGGATCTCTATCCCGAAGGTGGAAGATAGGCAAGTAGCACTTTTAATATGAGTATTAGGAGAGATAAGATAGGTCTGACAAAGTATCTAGATAATTTTGAGTCTACTATATATATATACATACAAACATATATATATATATATATATAATATCAAGGTATACTATACTTTTGATTTTACTCAAGATACAATAGAAGATAGGTATGGCAAAGTATGTGCATAAATTAGAGGTTAGGGAATTAGGGATTGAAGTTCACCTATTAGAGGTTAGGATATAGTATCATTTGCCTTAAAAAACTCCGGTTAATTCGAGGTCTAAATAGTAAAACTCTGTGGTCGTATGGTAGTGTGAACGCAAGAGTATAGCGTACTCCTGGCGCACGCTAGCTTGAATTATATGCGTGCGCGCGTACGTGTGCGGTTTAGGTTGGCGTACGCTAAAAATTAGTGTTTTGGTTGACATATTTTGATATAAGTTATAAATGGGACGTGATAGCGACATAAACTGAAGCATCGTAAGTGAGTGCGCTAAGTATTGTAAATTTTCAATATAAACATGCTACAAACTCTGTTATGAATCAAGAACACAAAATATTTAGAAGATCCAAAATGAATTAAACATATACATAAGTTAATTAATATAAATTATAAAATAACTCCCTCCGGCCAACGGGCCCGGCTAAAAAAGTTAGTATATATAATGAATATTCATTTTTTCCTCAACCTTGGTTTGGGAATTTGGAGAGACTCCAATTAATTAAAACTATAAATCCTTATCTTTCTATGAATATAAGTTAACCACCTGTCCACTTATCTCTTATCCATATGAGATATGACCATCCATTGAAGCAGGGAAGCAAACTATTCTCCCAAGGAACACTACGGTGGCAGGATCAAGACTGGTAACTCACTCAAACAACGAGCATTCTTCAAAAATTTCATCCTCCGCCTCCAAACGCTGTATGACCACAAACTGAAGCTTTTGGATACTTCTCCTCTCTAGTTTGATTCTTGTTCTATGCCTCTAATTCACGAGTGAGAGAATCTATCGAGAAGGAGAAGAAGAGAAATTGCATAAATCATTCAATCGACCCGGCCAGCTACTCTCTCCCAAGATAGCTACTCTTCAAATCTGACCAAGAGAGAAATACTAGAAATCACATCAACATTCAGCGACGAAAAAACTCCTCCTTTCCTTGGCTTCGTCGGCGAGTTGCAAAGTCTGCCATCTGTTGCGGTAGCGGCGGCGCGTCGCGGGCGAGAAGGTTGATTCATCACGGGGAAAGGTAGGATGACTTCAACGGGCGGAATTAGTTGGTCGAAGCCATGGGTCGGGACTGTGGAACGATAAGAATAGATGACGAAATGGAAGGTGATAACATCGATGGGGCGGCAGATGCGGCTGCCGATGCCTTACAGGATCTCCAAAGGGAGATCACGCTCCCAAAAGTTTAATTCGGGCTCTCATTATTTTCAGTTCGCGAACTTTTGCCGAATTGCTGAACGTTCGCGTTTCCGCGCGCCGGAGCGGAAGCGACAAACCTTAAGAGGCGAATTAGGTTACCTTAAGTCAAACAAACCAAAAGAAGTAAAATTATGGAAAGGAAGAGTTGATAATAAAAAAGGGAAAAAATCCAAAACAAATTAATATCCCCTAAAATACGGAAATTATGAGAAGAAAGTGTTACTAAATTAATAAAATGAGAAAAAAAAAAACAATCACAAAGGACATACTAATATGAAATATAATAATAATAATATTATTATTATTATTAATAATAATAATAAATTGGCAGGAGTTGAGGGAGTTACAACAAGACTATAAAAAATTAATATAAAATAAGGTTAAATTACACATTTGGTCACTCAAATTATACAAATCTTTCACGTTTGCCACCGGAATTACTTTTCTTTCTTATTCTCCACTAACTTTAAGAATTATTTAACCGGTTGTTACACTCCGTTAAATTTGTCCTACGTGGCAGTCAACTATGAAGTTTGACCGTTAACTAGATGACCTGAAAATTAAAAAAATTAAAATTATTTTTCCACCTCATCATTCCATTTTTTCTATATGATTTATCATATTAATTATTTAATAATAATTAATTAAATTAAGAAAACGAACGATCTCCTCTTTCCTCATTCTAATAATGCATGTTCAGCAAAAGCCCCTTCCTCCGCCACCGATGATTCCTCGATCATATCCTTCGCCGCCTCCTCCACCTAGCCTTCCGCCGCCGACCTCATCAAGTCCCCCTGGGCCGACCTCCCCATCGGAGACTCCTCCCACGACGACAGAAATGAGGTCTTTGACAACCCCGCTGCCATCAGCCTCGCCTCAAGTTCCGTCACCACCCGGTCAACGGCGGCGCTACCAACAATAACAATAATCACAGCAACAACAAGATGATGCTTCAGAAAGGGGATTTGCAGGGACGACTAAGACAGGGGAGGGAAGGCTTTTTATTTTTGATGAATTAAGGGAAGTAGAGTTTCTATGTTTGATTGGGTATGATTCTCCGACATTCATGTTGTTTTTTGTTCGGTTTTCATTTCTTATCAGTGATTTTGATCTCTTTATTTGTTGCTTCTCTGGGTTTTGATTTCTAACGAGGGAGGTATAGAAAATGGTGGGAGAAATGGCCACCCGGGCGGCTCAGGTTTTTCCAGTGACCGTGTTCTGATAGGGATCACTCAGAAGCCTTTAGCGGCACCGGCAAATCGTTAGTTTTATTAACCGTGGCTGAAATCTGTGCCATGTTCTTCGCCTCGCTTTTTCTGCCAGCTTTGACGGCCTTCTCTTTGGTTTCAACACTGGAGTCATGTTCGGTGCTCTATTCCACCATTGTCGTCGCCTGTGATTCAGATCCTCCCCGCCGCTTCATATCTTCTACGCGTGGCAATTCTGCATCGCCACTTCCTTCAGCTGCAACGACTTCGGATTCAGAGCCTCGTTGGTATGTCCGACGCCGGATACCTGTCGTGGCCGCCGCGTGGAGCTTCTACGACAATCTGAAGTTCAGAAATCGATCAACGATCTGAATAAACAAATTGGGCGCGATCCGGAAATTGATTTTAAGAAGTGGATTGGGGAATTGAGCCTCAATCTCATACTGAAATCGGTTGCGGGGAAGAGCTCCTCTGTTTCTAACTCTGCTTCTCTCGTGGGGTTTAAGAACTGCGCGAGGGAGATTTTCCGGTACGATGTAACGTTTGTTGTCGGAGACGCGCTTCGGTTTCTGCGGTGGATGGATATCGGCGGTCATGAGAAGGCGATGAAAAGGTTTTCGAGAGAAATGGATGGCTACCTTTAGCAATGGCTGGATGAACACAATGAAAACAGAGGAGCGAAAAAAACAGAGCTTGATTTCATTGACGTTCTGCTCTCCCTTCTCGACGGACAATATCTCCGCCGAAGCTTGCGTTAAAGTCCAATGGGGCACTCAGGTCTGTGTTAATTCTGTTCTTGGATTTCTTTCATGTTTGAATTCATCGTTCCTGTTATTTGTTCGATTAGAGCTTCGGCGAATTGAGATTGAGTTGATTTTTGTGGATTGGATTGATTTTCTTCGCCGACAATCGGAGTGCGGCGGACCCTCCCAGCGGCGCTGTTGCTGGGTTTTTTGGATCCCCATCCAACGCTCTTCTCCACTGCCTCTTCTTTTGAATTCTCCGCTGCTCGTCGAGCCGCCCGTTCCCGATCGAGCTCCGCCAAGAGCTCCATGTACCTCTCGACGGGGACATGTTCCGGTTTGTGGATACTCCTGATCACAGTCGCAGTCGTATGATCACCTCCTCAACGTCGTTCAAAATTTTTTTTAATAATTAATATGATAACTAATATAGACAAAATAGGTGGAATAATGAGGTGGAAAAATAATTTTTTTTTTAAATTTCCACGTCATCTAATTAACGGTCAAAATTTATAGTTGACTGCCACGTACGATAAATTTAACGGAGTGTAACGGCGGGTGACTAACGATAAAACGATTCGTAAAGTTAGTAGTGATTAAGAAAGAAAAGTAATTTGGGTGACAAACATGAAAGATTTATATAATTTGAGTGGTCAAACGTGTAATTTAACCTATAAAATAATAATAGAAAGCAAAGAAGAAACACAACCGTAAGTTTTTCCTTTCACATCTCATAATAAAGGGAACAGAAAAGGGATGCTTCCTTCTTCCTTCTTCCTTCTTCCCTTTGTATTTTTCTTGTGAGTGATGAGACTTCTCGGTAGCTGACTAGCTGGTTCAAGTTATTGATAAAAAAAAAAAATTTCAATTTGTAACGAGTGAAGCCGTCCCTGCTTGCGCCAGGACCCGATCGACCCGTCGCTAGTCGGTGTAAGTTAACACCCACAACCTGTTCGATAAAATTCCCCACTGGGTGGGCGGACCGGCGGAGTTAGCATTTTTCTTCTCCGGGGACAGTCATCTCGTTGCTTGGGGATTTCACTCCCTATTTCCGTCATCATTCCTCAAATAAAGCGTCTCAGTCCCTTCTCTGAGACAATTGCTAGTTTCTGTTAGTCCGAAAGTTCTTCGCAGAGGAAATTGGCTGTCAATGGCTGCGTTTTCTCCCTCACAAGACTCCCTTACCGGCTCCCAGATGGAGCATTCTGGGTCTCAGGGGTTGGAAGTAAAGATTGAAGCTTCAGCACAAAACGAGCCAGCTGCTACACTCTTAGTTCGTCATCTTCCTGAGGGCATCCGCTATGACACTCTTTCCCGCCTCTTCTCTCACTACGGCGCTTACTCGGTTCGCCCCTGCAGTGGTGGAAGGTAATAGACATTTTGTGCATGCTTCTAGACTGCAGTGCTTTGTACAATTCACTTCTCATGGCGAACTGTCTGAATAATATAGTGATTCTAGGATTATAATGCTAGTCATGTACATTGATGTTTTGTTGCGGCCACACTAGATGGGGAAGAAGATTGAAGTCTGTGGCTTGAGGTGATACCGTATGCCATCACACTCGAGCAGCTAAGTCCGTCTCCAAATGGTCTCCATGTGTGTCCCCTGTTAATTTGTCAATATGGCAATGTTGCCCTTATGTTATCTATGCATATGCAGCGTCACTGATCCCTTATTGAACCAGCTGCTGAATCTGTGGTAGCAATGATTTATTTGTCCGTTTCACTTGCAGATTAAGGAACTGTGCGTTTATTGATTTCAAAAATGATGCATTGGCTTATCAAGCTTTGCGCCAGTTGAATGGGTAAATTTTATCCTGTCGTGTTATTTGTTTTACTTTTGTTTGATCATTTGCAGTTGCTGTTTTCATGTTTGGTGTACCAATGACGAGGCCTTATTTGCTGGTTTAGCTACTTCTCTTCATTTGCAAATTATTATAATGCATTACCAGTTTTGTCTGTTTATATGTTAGATTGACATCTGGAAACATGCTATTTATTTTCTTGTCTTGTATCCTTTTTTCAGGGTCAGGTTTCTTGGTAAAGTTCTAAAAGTTGAGAAAGCCAACAAGATTAATGAGGATCACAGAAGTAAACAAAGTGAGAACCAAGGGAGGAAACATAATATACTTCCAATACCGAGTGCAAGGGATACTCACACATCGGGAACAGACATTAGTGGTGAGTTGAAGTCGGGAGCATTTATAGCTAGTCAGCCAATTGCTCCAAAACTTGGAGTAGACTACCCATTTCCTGCTCACTTAGGGTACGGTATCTCAGTCACTTTTTCTCAGTTCTTTATTTACGCATCCTGGTTCGCTGGTGAACTCTTTTCACGATATCCATCGTTATATAACGTAAACACTTTGTATTTTATGAGATTGTTCTGGAAAAATGGTATTGGTTCTTGGGCATATGATATCTGCTGATCACAGTCATGTGTAGAAAATTGTTAATAAAACTAATGATAAAGAGGAAATTCATTGAGCATCTCTTTCTTAACATTTCTGCAATGTCCTCTGCTAGTGTATCTCAATCCCCTACATATAGTGCCTAACTTGGATCAGCTGTTATTTGAATTTTTTTCCAGGTATGCCTATCCTCCACCTGATGGAAACATCTTGACCAATATTGTCAATGCACTGATTGCGGTTCCTCGGTTTTACACACAGGTAATTTCCAATCTCAGTTAGAGCAATGAAGACATTTTATCTAGAAAACTTCTCTTGAGGTCAATACTTACATGTTTTTCACACAGCATTTGCTAGAATCACTATTGTTCACAACTTCAGCTTTGACTAGGTGTTGCATTTGATGAACAAAATGAACATTCCAGCTCCATTTCGCATGGCACTGCCTACCCCTCCTTTACCACCTTCTGAATCTGCACCAGCTCCACCTCCACTTGTTGAAGCATATCATCAATCAGCAGACGTATCCAGTAGTGAGTCTGAATTGGAGTCTTCTGACAAGGTATGGCTCATTTTGTGACATTCTTTTTTATCTGAAGTTATTCATAAATTTCAAATGATATAATTTAATGACCATCTTTCTTTTAGGAGAAACGGATGTATTTCTCTTAACTTATTCAGTCAATTTTCTACATTCCACTCCCTTCGGTTTTCTAAGGGAGGTTTTTTTTTCTTTTTTTTTGCAACATTGTAGCTTATAATTTGCTTCAGCTTTGATTGAACTGATTAAAACATGTTATGATGGACTATTTTCAGGATGTAGATGACAAAGCCTCTTCTCTTGGACCTGTTGTTAAATCTGGACGAAAGCGTAGAAGAGAGGCAATAGTGGGCCCCGCATTTGATAAACAAGTTGCTCATGAAACAGTGGGATTGAAACTTGCCACCTTGCTTCCAAAGGAAATCCCTATTGTAAAGAAGAAAAACTCTATGCTGCAGGTCACACACTCATACTGCTTCTTGGTTATTGTTTTTCAGATTGTTTGACCTCTCATCTCATGGATGATTGTATTCCTCCATTTTTGCATTATAGATCAAAATTGCCCCAAAAGAAGTTCAGAGTGAAGAGAAAGGTAGTAGCATTGAAGCTGAATCTGTGGAGCCAGAGCCTCAGACTCCAAATGATAAAGCCTATGCAGCTCCAGAAGAAATACAGAGTAACAAGCTTGTACCTGAGGAAATCCTATCATTGCCGAAGTTCAAGGTACTGGGGAACTTCACATATTTGGTAGCTCTACTTCTAGTACAGTTAGTGGGTTGTTTCTGCTAATTGTGCAGTGTCATCTAAATATGCACTTCTCATGTATGTGAAAACTGGATCAGCAGCTGATTGGAAATCCTTGCGGTCCGTAGCTAATGTCATTGTTGGTCTATAAATTGCTTCGTCGTATGCTTGATCGCTTTATGCTACACGTAGTACTAATATAAAGTTGACTGTGGAATTGGTCATTTGTAATGAGTCTAAGCTGATTTGATTAATGCAGAACTACACAGTAGGGCATCCAGCAACTGTACTTTACATAAAGAACCTGGCAAAGGACGTGGTTGCAGATGACTTTTCTTATGTCTTCGGTGAGCTTAGATGTACAAGCAGTTGACTTCTTATCTTCATTGCATGCTGCCATTCTGAGACACGATAATATCTCAAGAGATGTTGACTTATGTGATAAGTGAATCAGCAGCTATACAATTGCCCTGTTGGACGTTATCATTATCTTTCAATAGTTGGCTCGTGTTAAATCTTATTAATTATTATATTGAAACTCAGACCTGAATTCTCGGTTCCCAACACATCAAGCACCAGCTCTTCTGTCTCCACCAAGTTCTTGATCTCTTTAAGATGATCTTGCTTCCATATGATGTAGGGTCACTCTTTGGGAGTACTGATGCAGCTAAAAATGCGCTTAATGTGAAGCTAATGCAGGTGAGGGCTCCCTCTTCTACTTTTTCATGACATATTTGATGCCCCAATTCTGTTTTGAGAATGTATATGAAATTGGTAGGCAAATGGGCTGAGAATTGAGATTACTTGTGTAATGTTCAGGACGGAAGAATGAGGGGCCAGGCCTTTGTCACATTCCCATCGGTTGAACTTGCACATCAGGCCCTGGTACGTGTATATAATGAGAACATTGTTTATTCTGAACGGGACGGTGTTACTGACGTTGTGCAACTACATCTGCAGAATCTAGTAAACGGTTACATGTTCAAAGGCAAGCCAATGATCGTTCAGTTTGGGCGGAATCCTTCAGCCAGCAGCAAGCCTGATTAAGCATAAGTCTCCATTAGGGTCTTTCTTTCTAGGCACAGTTGGCCTGCATCTTCAAATGTAAATTCGTTAGACCGCTGATAAGTGCAACTCATGCAAATGCCTGAAAGCTCAAACCATCTCTCTGACTTTGAAGTCTAACGTTCACCAAACGCAGGTTCGTAACTGAATGATCAGTAATTCCATCTAGTTTGCCACTCATTCTTTTTTCTTTCGGAAACCCTGATTCTGACAAGCACAAGATGTTACAAGTGGCAAAATTTTGATCCACACTGAACCGTTTTGAGATTTAATATGATGGAATTAAGTCTATATTGTACCGTCCAGATCGTTTGCCCGGCCGAGTAAGTGAATTAAGAGTTAATGGTCGAATTGGTTTAGTTCGGATATTATGAACGATGGCCGTGATTGAGTGGTTGTGTTGGTGGTTTCCAGTCTGGAGTCAGGTTCAAATCTCAGGAATGATGCTCTTTTCTCTTTTCCCTCACCCCTCTAGTATCACTCTGTAATAGGTTTCTATAAAAAAAGGTCTTTAAACTGAAAAACTGTCGATTGATTAATACATTGGATCCGAATTAATGCACGGGTTGACAACCATTAATTAGGTCTCACTCTGCATATTTTATTTGCTTGTATTTTTGTTCATTTGAGTCCAAGAAAAATGAAAGAAAGATATATTTTTGAATCGGACACGGAAGTAGACTAAATAGCATCAACTATCTAACATTTCACACCTTTTCCGGACAAGATACTATCTGCTTTGGGGTCATGATCCTCACAAATTTCGTCTTGGGCGCATATCAAATTGACTTCCTATAAAGTCACTCATTCTTGCAGTGCTCTACAATGAGCACGTTTAACTTTGAAGTTCTCACAAAAACTCTATTTCATCTCAAAACACATATTGTGAGTTAAAATCGGTTTCATACTTATGAATCATGAATTTCTCTCGTTTCGCCCTATAGATTTATTTATTTCGCAGAAAACCCATCGATTTTTCTTTTGATTGAAGATCAACTCACGATAAATGACTTGTAGAATGAAACAAATATGTCACAATGGTTTCTTTTTAGTGAGTTGCATTCATCATTCGTCATTACACTCCATTTTAGCAATTTCTATGGAGCGGTTTCTGTACTCGCTACTCACTAATGCAGCAGCATCCTCGATCCTCGTCGCCATCACACAAGCTTACTCTCTGGCAGTTCTCTGCTGCTTATAACCGGCCACGTAACCCGTTCAATCCGCCTTTTCAACACCCTGCTTCGATCTTACTCCCTCAGCGATTCCCCACTTAAAGCTTTCTCCCTCTACATCCAACTCCGGTCGTTGTACTGCTTCCATTGCTCATAATCATCTCTACAGCTTCCTTCATTCGACAGCTTCTCATACAGTTTCCAGATAAACGCCGCCCTCAAGCATCTTCTCTAGCTATCGGGACCCAGTTCCAGGGCTCATAGTCATTCTCACGTCTACGTCCAGACCGCGGCGTTGAACATGTACGCGGCTGGAGGCGTTTTGTCTGATGCGCTGCGGGTGTTCGATGAAATGCCTGACAGAAATTCGGTTACTTGGAATGTTTTCATAACGGGATTGGCGAGATGGGTGAACTGGAAAATGCTAGGTCTCTGTTTGATGAGATGCCGGAGAAGAATGTTGTGATGTGGACTGGGATGATCGATGGGTACGTAAGGATGGGGAGGTTTGGTGAGGGTTTGGATTTGTTTCGGAGGATGGTTTGTTGTGAGGCCTAGTGAGATTACCATTCTTGCCATAATGCCAGCTGTTTCTCATTTGAAAGAGCTGAAGGCTTGCAGGTTGGTTCATTGTTATGCGGAGAAAAGAGGGCTGATTGCGTTTGACATAAGGGTTGCTAAGTCGATCATAGATACTTATGCGAAATGTGGGTGCATCATGAGTGCTTCCAGGTTTTTTACTACTTGAGAAAGAGGAAGAATTTGGTATCAGGGACTCAAGTTCTTGGAAAAGATGGTGCATGAGTATCAAGTTTTGCCTGATATTAAGCATTATGGATGTTTAGTAGACATGCTGACTAGGCTGGGCAGATTAGAGGAAGCAGAAATTTTGGCGCTGGAGATACCTACAGAGATTGCTAACGTCATGATCTGGAGAACTCTTCTAGGAGATTGTAGCTTTCATGATAACATTGAGATGTCCGAAAGGGTAACAAGGAAGATATTGGAGATGGAGAGAGGATGTGGAGGTGACTAAGTAGCACGTGCTGATACATAACATTTTTGTGGTGCAGGGAGGTTTGGTGAAGCTGAAAGGTTCAGAAATTTGATGCACCAGAGATATGCACTAAAACTTCCAGGCCAGAGTTCGTTATGATCCGTAGGCAATGCCGGTCGATTGATCAGTGAGCCTGACGCCAAGGTTTTTTTCATCTGCTATTACCACTTGATCAATTCCTCGGGGTTGAAATTTCATGCCATATTTGGTGCCTGTTATAAATAAAAAAATAGTAATGCGCTGCATGCAAAGGATTAACACTGTGGGTGACGAGTGAAACAAAACATCATAGTTTTGCGCGTCAAACTTTCTATGTTGAAGAGAGCAAATATCCATCTATGTAGTAGGGGAATGCTGTTCTGTTGCTAGTAAGCTAATGCCAAATCAACAACATAACAGCGATGGCAAATAGTGCAAGAAGCGTCATATTCCCTCCTGGCACACTGGATGACCTGAAAAATGAAAGCCAAAATTTCAATATCTTTGTCTGTCTGTTGAGTATGGTAATTTAGAAGCCATTCTGGATGGGCCCTAAATGGCCATGTAGAATTGCATAATGCAGGAGTTGCAGATTCTTGTATATACCTATTATTATGCCTGGATTGCTGAATGTATGCCATCACTGGTGGAAGTATGCCAAACAGGAAGCAATTTGCATACACTCCAGCAAAATCAACAGCTCTGGAAAACGTTGAAGGGAAGAAGGATCCGATGATAATAGGAACTCCAAGCACCATTGCCATGACCAAACGTGCGGCAGCAGATTCTTCAGCTTTTCCTGGTGGTCCTTCAACTTCCGAGCCACCTGAAGACCTTGATCTGTCGAAAATTACCATTCCGGGATTTCCGGGACCATCAGCACCAGCAAATACCACCAAACCTGCCTGCCCACTACGCATCCCAGGTACTAATGTAGTTTTAAAAGTAAAGCTTGTTTCCTTCTCAGAATCTGCTTTCCCAAATATTAGGTCTAAAGTGTCAAGAAGCTGTTTGGGGAAGCTAAGAGCGTAACCTATCAAGCTGGTTGCCAGAGCAGAGAATGCAAATCCTTGAACAGCAGGTAGAGCAGAAGGATTGACAGAAAGCAAGAGCGAGATTGGATCAGTGGTCGATGCAGCCATATTATTAACCCTAGCAAGTCCCAAAACAATCAAATTCCATGACAAAACCATGATGAGAGGAACAGCACCACCTATCAAAACTGCCTTTCGAGCTTCAGAGACGGTATTCCCAGCAATCTTACATATGAAAGGTGTAATCACATGGAAGCCTAAAGTGAGCACTGCAACAGGCACAGCAGGCAAAATTGAAGAAACCCTCCAGGACGATCGAGCAAAAGAGCTCAACACATTTGCTCTAGCAACATACAAACCTACTGTGACCAAAGCTGTTATGGAGAAAACCATGAGCAAGCACAAGAACCGATTTGCAGTGTCGATGACATTAAAAGGAAAGAAGGCGATTATCACCCCAGCAGACAGTGGGAACAATCCATGAGTTACCAACGGGTTCATCATGGGAAGCCACTGAGATAAAATTGATCCAATCCCAGAGACACAAGCTACCAACAGAGCAAAATTCAGGCTTGCGTAAACGACGGCTACCAAAGGACCAAAATGGCGTCCTAATGATCTTGTTGCAAGTCCAGTAAAGCTCACCTCCGAAACTCCATCCTCTTGCATTGCATCAAAGCTCAGCTCAGCTACGAGAATGATTGAGGAGATTACGTACAGCCAGCACAAGACAATGGCAATGGTTGATGGTAATGCACCAGCTTTCATAGTTGCAGCAGGTAATCCCAGCATTCCTGGGCCTACTGCTGTGCCAATGACTAAAGTTACAGCTCCCCAAAAGTTCTTCTTCACCCCTTGTTGGAGATCTTGGGAGGTTTCAACCACTCGAGTTATTGGAATGAACTGTTTGTCTACCGTTTCATCAGGAAGTGAAGCAGGATAAGCGTTTTCTGGGTTGCTTCTTGGGATGAGAAGCGAAGGTTTGCCCCATAAGGTGACGAGCTTCCTTGGAGTAGCGGAAATGGAGATTCTTGGGAGTTGAAAACTGAATTTTGAATCGTTGGTAATGGTTCTGGGTTTTGGTTTCCACAGAAAGTGGAGGTGAGATGGTGGATGAAGATGGAAAAGCATTGTGTTGCAAAGGCGAGATTTTTAGCTTTGTTCAGAGTTTCCGGGCATTGTTCTGACGAAGGTTATTGTATCTTGAATGTGGGAAATATTGGCCTTTGTGTCTTCGAGCTTCCGAGGCGAGAAAAGTAGCAATCAGTGAAATGAAAATGACTGACAGACCTTTGCCCTTTTGTTGTGATCAGATTAAAAACCTAGTCAGCTTATGTTGGCTGCTGCATCTTCTCAGCCGCCAAACTGGGAGGGTAACTTTACCTAGAACTATTGGGCTAGGGCCCACAGACATTAATAGTTGCTCAAATTCTCAAAATAGTGTACGTCGACAAAATTACAAGTTAGGTCACTGACTTATTAATTGTAACAAGTTTATTATTAAAATTATTGTTATTTCATTCGTAGTCCCTAATAAGATTAGTTTAATTGTTCAACTTTGGTCATATGCATGGTTGTCAATTGTCATGCCGATGGCATGTCACCCTGTTGAACCTAGTTCAACCTATACCGTTCATGAAACCGGCATGACACCACTGATATGACCGGTATGATCGACTTACGCATTTTAAGTTTAGTGACATCATTTTAATGAATTTAATGAATAAAGAAATTAATTTATTACGCATTTTAAGTTTAGTGACATCATTTTAATGAATTTAATGAATAAAGAAATTAATTTATTATTCATTTTATGAATGTAATAGTTAAAAGTTGATGATATTTGTTGGATGGGCAATGTCTATTTTTTACCCAAACCTTTTTCAGATTCTTTTATTTTAACCAAACTTATAGAAATTCTATTTATTATCCAAACGTATTATAATTTATCGAAGTCTGGGCATTCATTCTGTTACCGTTACTTATTTCGTCCACGTGAGAGGTGGGATTTTGTTTTGTTTTTTGATAATTTTTTTATTAAAAATAGTAAATGATGGTATTCTGACCGCCACGTAGGAAGTCAACTCATTATGGTCATACTTAGTCAGCATTACTAACAGAAAAGTTGACGGAGAGTTAACGTTTGGATAATTTTTAGGAATTCAATAGGTTTGGTTAAAATAAAAGAATCTGAAAAAAGTTTGGGTAAAAAATAGACATTGCCCTTGTTGGATTGTAACTAAATTGTCCACAAATAAGTTTTATATATGATTAAATACATTGGATATTAATTATTTTCATATTTTTTAAACCGGCATGAAACGGCACAAACTGGTTATACCACCGGTCGTACCATTCCACTTGCCAAACCGGCACAACGGTATAAACCGGTTTGACAACCTTGGTCATATGTCATCCAATTCTATGATGTGACAGTCAATTCTTATAGTAGACGATAAAATGGATGATGTGGGAATTGAAAATATAAAATTTAATCATTTAAATTTTCCACCTCATAATCACAATAATTAAAAAATAAAAAATAAAACTTCTTTTCATCTAATCCTTTAAACCACCCAAACTCAATCTCTACCCAACCTAATCAAAATATGATATGTGGGTTAATTGCATGGTTGGTCCCTGAGATTACGAAAAACATTCATGTTTGGTCACTCAAAATATTTAAATCCATTCATAGTCACTAGATTTAGTAAAACAATTCAAGTTTGGTCACTCTCCGTCCAACTCCGTTAACTTTGTCTGATGTGGCAGTCAACTCTCAAAGTTGACCGTTAAATGTATGACGTGGCAATTTAAAAAAAAATCAAAATTTCCATGTCATTATCACTACTACTAAAATGAAAAATAAAAAATAAAAAAAATTAATTTTAACTCACTAATTATCAACTCCACCTCACTCCCACCTTGGTCGCAACTTACAACGGTGATGTCGACCAACCTTCATGTACTCCCCATGAGTCGGCCACCCAATTGAGCTAATGAGGCAGACAGTGATGTTGAGCACCGACTGAATCCTAGGCTGCTCCCACCCGGTCCCGCCGGCGAACTCGATCACCGGCTTCAAGCTAGATCTGGCTGTGGTAGCTGGTGACGACAGGCTTCCCGGCCTCGAACTTCCTCACCAGTCCCACCGTCTTGTCGTCGGCGCTCAGAAGCTCAATGAACCCCCCGCCAGGGATTAGGAGGCAGTCGTAGGAGTCGGCCTTCACTTGTTCGTATATAGTTGGCGTTCAGGGTGAAGAAATGCCCCTGCAGCTCTATGTAAAGTTGCATCAACAAAATTCGATTACTACAGATCAAGCTTTCGATTAATTGGAAGTGGGTGATTCATGGGTTGGGATTCAATAGTGTGATTACCTCGAAGCCCATAAAGTCATGGACGGCGGTGAAGCATCGGTGGCTGGGGAGTTTACCCCCGGAGACACAGTCAACGCGTACGCCAAAGGCTCGGAGGGTGAAGAAAGGGACGACAACATCGTAATCCTCCATGTAGTCGCCGCATAGTACGAGAACTGATTTTTGAGTCAGGGAACCCATTCGTGCTTTTTCCTTGTTTCTATGGCTGGTTTGTACACTCTAGCTCTTGAGTCTGGTCTTGAGTACCAAGGGAGGGAAGGTGGTTGATTATATATAGGTGGAAGGCAGAGAAGAGGGGATAATCATGCATAAGAGTTCTCTCTAATTCCCCCACTTCAAGCTTGGGAGATTGAAATTGTGGAGCGGCGGTTTTGATCTCTCCATCCCCATTGACATCGCCATACCACCACCGTTACCATCACCGTTGTCGACTCGTCATCTCACTGACTCTTCTCCCCTCCCACCAATATACACCATTGAACGACCAGGACCAGAGCTTAGATCACGAGTTGCCCACCTTTCACTCTCTCTCTCTCTGGAATCCAGCGTCGGCGGTCAAGAGCTGTCGTTTTCTCTCTCTATTTTGATTTTTGTTTTTTTTTGTTTTTTTTCATTTTAGTGGTAGTGATAATGAGGTGGAAATTTTTATTTTTATTTTTTTAATTGCCACGTCATACATTTAACGGTCAACTTTGAAAGTTGACTGCCACATTAGACAGAGTTAACGGAATTGGACGGAGAGTGACCAAACTTGAATTGTTTTACTAAATCTAGTGACTATGAATGGATTTAAATATTTTGAGTGACCAAACATGAACGTTTTTCGTAATCTCAGTGACCAATCATGCAATTAACCCATCCTTCCTCTCACCTCGGCCCAAACCACCCATGACCTGCTCTGGCTGCCACCACCTGCCTGGAGTCCTTCCATTTTCGTCACAACATCCCAGGCGCTACAGGACAAAGGCTTGTAAAGACGACAAGAATTGCAAGCGGAAGGTCTGCTTTTCACTCATACTCTCCGCGAGGGATGACAATTTCGACCTGACCCGTTTTACCCGACCTGTTTCACCTGTTTTTGGGTGGGGCGGGCATGGGAACTCTCATCGACCCGACCTGACCCAGCCCGCCCAACTCTCATCTTAGTCAAATTACTTAAGATTTTTCTTTTATTACATCATAATTTAACTATAATAAAGTTGTAAATTAGTGAAAACCTCTATTTCTCTAATAATTTAACTACATTTATCATAATAATGTTTGTTTTCTTGGTCATATAATAAAAATAATGAATATTTCTAATGTTTTTCCATAGAAATTGCATACACATTGGGTCGACCTACCCCGACCTACAACCCTTGATAAATTACCCGACAAGTACCCGACCTGCCACGGGGCGGGTCTGGGTACCAAGACCCTGGCGCCATCGCTAGGAAGACTAATCACCACAATCATCAGGGCATTCTGAATGAAAATAAGGCTAAAAATATACGAAATGATTGTTTTGTCGCATCAGGATACCCCACCTCTCGCCCCCGTTGACATCGTCACTGTCTTCCACCCCGCCTATGTCATCGACGAGCCACCATCGCTTGGCAGGGAAGGATTCTTTCACCGGCCGAGCAAGTTCCAGTCTCGCTTCTTCAGCTCCAAGGACCTTCTTACCAAGCTGATGTCTTCACCGGAGCCGGAGGTCATGAATTACATCAAGGAGGCTGTTGCCACCATAATATCGGTTGTCATGGCTTCTCCCTCTTCTGCAGGTAGTATGAGTCATGATCCAGAATGATCCATCAGTACAATACAATATCACAAGCATGAATCATTTTGTGCTTTCAATAATCTGGATAGTTGTATTTATAGAGCTGCCAATTTCCAATCCAATCCAATCAAATCCATCCACATACGGGTCGTTTGCTTCGTGGATTTGAAAAATGAATGTTTTGGTAAAATCTGGATTTTGGAAAATCATGAATATATGATGAATTTGGTGGCATTATGGATTTGAGCAAGTCTACTTTTTTCTTGTTAGATTTGATTATGGATTTTTCACTTATTTATTTATGGTTTTAAAACATAAATTACCCTACTACTCTTAGAGTCTAACATGTTAACACTACAACATTGACACTACCAACCAAAGAAAGAAGGGGCGAGAAAGACTTGCAATGTAGGATGTAACAATACTCACTAACTCATTAACATGATAACTGATTCGCTCTAACTACAACTTCTCAATCGAAGACCAAGTTTACCCGACGACCGGGCGTAACATAGGGTAAGCAAGTAATAAAATTATCTAACTACGGGTCTCTAGATGTACCTAACTTCGGCTTAATGTTTCGTTATCTAGCCAATCTAGAATAGTTATTAACCTAACTACACTACCCTGTTAATTACAAGCGAACATAAGAGAAGAGGTCTAATTCATAGATAGAAGAGAGACATTACAAAATAGCTCAAGATCACTCTCTCTCTCTCTCTCACACACACACACACACTCAATGCCCCTTTTGGTGCTTTGGGTCAAAACCCGAAAGAAGAACCAAGTTCCCTTCTTTCTCCTATCTGCTGCCTTTTTATATGCCCGACAGTGCAGACTTCACTGTCACTTTTCACGGTCGTGATATCATCAAGCGAAGGGTGATCTCGGCTGAAAACGCACTATTTTGGGCTAACTTCATTGTCTCGGGGTGATTTTCACACCCTTAGACCGTGAAGTTTGCACAGGCCGCGAGATGCACAATAGTTGTTGGACTTTGCACACTTCAAAGTCTGGAGGAGATTTTCACACTCCCATGGTGTGATATTTGCCTCCTGCCCGTGAACCTTGCACAGACTCCACTTTGTGACCTCCGAATCGCCCGAACCTCGTCCTCGACC